CAATAGCTAAGACATGGAATTAACCTAAATGCCCATCAACGGAAGACTGGATAAAAAATTATGGGATATGTTCTCTATAGAATACTATACAGCAGTAAAAAAAGAAAGAAAGAAATCTGGTCATTTGCAACAAAATGGAGCAATCTGGAAAACATCATGCTGAGTGAAATAAACCAGTCCCAAAGAGACAAATATATGTTCTCCCTGATCAGTGACAACTAACTGAGCACCTAAAAGGAGACCTGTTGAAGTGAAACAGACACTATGAGAAACAATGACTTGGTCAGCCCTTGTCCTGACTGTCGAGGGACAATTTACTTTTTTATTCCTTTTAGTATTTTTTTATTCTACTTAATACCATTGGTTGAACTCTTTAATTAACACACAATTATTCTTAGGTGTTTAAATTTAATTGAAAAGTGATCCCTGTTATAAATAAGAGTGGGAATAAGAGAGGGAGGAGATGTACAGTTTGGCACATGCTCACTCGGACTTACCCCTAATGGTAGAGCTAGAAACATGCCAGAGGATTACCAAATCAATCCCATCAGGGTGGCATGTACCAATGCCATCTTACTAGTCAAAGTGATCAGTTTAAGTTCATAACTGATCATAATGATAGGATTAAGTGTCAAAGGGATCACATAAACAAGACCATTGTCTGCTAATAATAACTGATAGAATTAAAAAGGAGAGAATGATCCAACATGGGAAGCGGGATACACAGCAGACTCATAGAATGGCAGATGTCCTAAACAACATTCTGGCCTCAGAATCAGCCCTTAAAGCATTCAGATACGGCTAAAAAGACCATGAGAGTTTCTCAGGCATGGAAAGCCAAGACACTGTTGCAATAAAAAAAAAAATCTAAATGAAAGATCTCTGTGAGTGAGATCCCAGCGGAAAGAACGGGCCATCAAAGAAGGAGGTACGTTTCTCTGAAGGGAAGAGAGAGCTTCCACTTTGATTATGGCCTTGTCTAAATAAGATCGGCGCCGTGGCTCACTAGGCTAATCCTCCGCCTAGCGGCGCCGGCACACCGGGTTCTTGTCTCGGTCGGGGCACCAGATTCTGTCCCGGTTGCCCCTCTTCCAGGCCAGCTCTTTGCTGTGGCCAGGGAGTGCAGTGGAGGATGGCCCAGGTGCTTGGGCCCTGCACCCCATGGGAGACCAGGAAAAAAGCACCTGGCTCCTGGCTCCTGCCACCGGATCAGCGCGGTGCGCTGGCCACAGCGCGCCTCCGCGGCAGCCATTGGAGGGTAAACCAACGGCAAAGGAAGACCTTTCTCTCTGTCTCTCTCTCTCACTGTCCACTCTGCCTGTCAAAAAAAAAAAAAAAAAAAAAAAAGATCGGAGTTTGTGAACTCAAGAGGCTTCCATAGCCCAAGAGGCTTCCATAACCTTGGCAGTTAATGACAAGAGTCTCGGGTGATTTATGATGTCATGTAGAAGAGTGTCAATTGTTAAATCAACAACAGGAATCACTGTGCACCTACTCCCCATGTAGGACCTCTGTCCTTAATGTGTTGTACTATTCGAATTAATGGTAAAATACTACTCAAACAGTACTTCATATTTTGTGTATCTGTGTGGGTGCAAACTGTTGAAATCTTTACTTAGTATATACTAAGTTGATCTTCTGTATATAAAGATAATTAAAAATGAATCTTGATGAAGAATGGGATAGGAGAGGGAGTAGGTGATGGGATGGTTGTGGGTGGGAGGGAGGTTATGGGGGAAAAAGCCGCTATAATCCAAAAGTTGTACTGTCGGAATTTATATTTATTAAACAAAAGTTGAAAAAAAGACTTGCTTTCAATTCTTTTGGATATATGCCTAAAAGGGAGTTGTTGGATCATACAGTGGTTCTGTTTAACTTTTTTGTATTGAAAGGTAGAGTGAGATGGAGAGAGAGAGAGAGAGAGAGAGAATATCTTTCATTTACTGGCACACTCCTCAAATGCCTTTCACAGCCAAGACTGAAGCCAGGAACTCCATCCAGGTCTCCTCCATGGGTGGCAAGAGCCCAAGTACTTAAGCCATCATCTGCTGCCTTCCAAGATAATATTAGCAGGAAGTTAGATTGGAGTCAGTACTTGAACTGTCACTCTGATATGGGATATGGGTAATCCATGTAACAGTTCAATCCACAACACTCTCCCCTTCACTGTCCCCGTGTGTGACTTTTTCAGGACTACCAGTGTATTTTCCACAGTGGCTGTGCCACTTTACATTCACACCAGCAATACACAGTGATCCAACTTCACATGTTTGTCAACACTTTTTATATTCCATTTAAAAAATATTATAACCATTCTTTTTTTTTTTTTTTTGACAGGCAGAGTTAATGAGAGAGAGAGAGAGACAGAGAGAAAGGTCCTCATTTGTTCGTTGGTTCACCCCCCAAATGGCCGCTATGGCCCGTGTGCTGCGCTGATCCAAAGCCAGGAGCCGGGTGCTTCCTCCTGGTCTCCCATGCAGGTGCAGGGCCCAAGCACTTGGGCCATCCCCCACTGCACTCCCGGGCCACAGCAGAGAGCTGCACTGGAAGAGGAGCAACCGGGACAGAATCCGGCACCCCGACCGGGACTAGAACCCAGTGTGCCGGCACCACAGGTGGAGGATTAGCCAAGTGAGCTGCGGTACCAGCCATATTATAGTCATTCTAATAGTTGTGAAGCAGTACCTCATTGTGATTCTGATGTGCATTGCCTTAGTAACTAATGATGGCGAAAATCTTTTCATGTTCTCATCAGCCATTTGCATGTTTTCTTTAGAGAAATGTCTATTCAAGTTCTTTGCTCCTTTTTGAACTGAGTCATATTTTTTGTTGCTGAGCCATAATAGTTCCTTACATATTCTAGATATCAATACCTTTTCAGATATATTATTTGCAAATGTTTTCCCTATCTATACATTGCCATTTTGCTTTCTTGATAGTATCCTTTGATGCACAGAAGCTCTTAATTTGGAAAAGGCAGTTTATTTTTTTTTTATTGTCTATGCTTTTGGAATTGTATCCAAGAAATCATTGCCAAATTCGACATATTAAATTTTCACTAGGCTTCTTCTAAGAATTTTATTGTTTTATCACTGTGTTTAGCTTAAATGGTCTTTGATTCATTTTGACTACTTTTTTTTTTTAATTTGAGAGAGAGTAAGACATAGACAGAGCACACACAAGTTCCTATCCTCCAGTTCACTCTCCTGAATGCCTGCAACAGCTGGAGCTGGATTGCACCAAAAGCAAGAGAGGAGAATTCATCCAGGTCTCTGATGTGGGTGGCAGGAACCCAAATCTTTCTTTTCCCCTTAAAAGTATATTTATTTATTTGAAAGACAGAGTTTTACAAAGAGAGAGAATGGAGGGGAAGGGGGGCAGAGATCTTCCATCCATTGATTCACTCCCCAAATGACAGCAAAAGCTAGGGCAGGGCCAGGATGAAGCCAGGAGCTTCCTCCACATCTTTCACATGAGTGCAAGGCCCATGCACTTGGGCCTCCCTCTGCTACCCTCCTAGGTATGGCAGCAGGGAGCTAGACAGAAAGTGGAGCAGGTGGAACACAACCCAGCACCCATACGGGATGCCAGCAGCATCCTTACTCACTACACCACAGCACTGGCCCTCAGGAACCCCATTCTTGGCCTCTCACTGCCACTTCACAGGGTCTGCATTAACAGGAAGCTGAGGTCAGGAGCCAGAGCTTGGCATCCAATCCAGACACTCTGATGTGGGATGAGAGCACCCTAACTCATGTTGGAACTGCTAAGTTAAACATCCATCACCAGGTTTTTTTTTTTTAAGATGTATTTATTTATTTATTTGAAAGTCAGAGTTACACAGAGAGAGAAGGAGAGGCAGAGAGAGAGAGAGAAAGGTCTTCCATTCTCTAGTTTACTTCCCAATTGGCCGCAACAGACGGAGCTGCGCCAATCCGAAGCCAGGAGCTTCTTCCGGGTCTTCCGCATGGGTGCAGGGGCCCAAGGACTTGGGCCATCTTTCACTGCTTTCCCAGGCCACAGCAGAGAGCTGGATCGGAAGTGGAGCAACCGGGACTCGAACTGGCACCCATATGGGATGCAGGCGCCAGCTTTACCTGCTACGCCACAGCACTAGCCCCACCATTTTGTTTTGTTTAGTTACATATAGTTTTTATTTGAGAGAGAGAGAGAGAACATAAAAACACATCTTCTCTTCAACATTTTGGAAAAGTCTGAGAAGTATTAGCAATAATTCTTCTTTGAATGTTTGATCGAGTTCACCCATAAAGACCTCTATTTAGGACTTCTCTTTATTGACAAGTTTCTGATTTCTTAGTCATTTTCTTTACTTGTTATAGGGCTGTTGAGATTTTTTGAATTGATTTTTCAAGTGAATTTGGTAATTTGAATGTTTCAAGGAATTTCTTGATATCCTCTAGATTATCTTCTTGGTGTAAAATTGCTCTTTTAAGATCGGTAGTAATGTCTCCAGTTTCACCATTTTTAAAAAATATTATTTATTTATTTATTTATGAGAGGTAGAGTTACAGACAGAGAGAAAGAGACAGAAAGGTCTTCTATCTGCTGGTTCACTCCCCAAATGGCCACAACGGTCTGAGCTGGGCTGATCTGAAGCCAGGAGTCAGGAGCTTCTGCAGGGTCTCCCACGCAGGTGCAGGGGCCCAAGGACTTGGGCCATCCTCTACTGCTTTCCCAAGCTACAGCAGGTAGCTGGATCAGAAGAGGAGCAGCCTGAATACCGGTGCTCATTAGGGATGCCAACACCACAGGTGGAAGCTTAGCCTATTACACGACAATGTCAGCCCAGTCAAATTATAATCTTAACATTAATCCAGGTGCAACCTACGTGCCTTAAACTTGAACGATCATATTAGGCGATTTCTATGTTTTGCCAAACAGTAAGTAGTGTACTGTTATTGTCTTAGTTTTAGACCACAGTTAGCTTCAGACCATAGTCTCATGGTGTGTTTGGGGGTTCTTTCTCAAGATGGAGTTTTTGGTGCTCTAAAACGCAGTCCCTCTTGTCCGTTAGGGTGTCATTTCAGCCTGGCATTCCAAGAAGGGTTGCTAAGGTCTCATATGGTCCTCTAGGGAAACTATGCAGCAAGAATTCTAGAATGCTAATGGATATAGCTGAGAGAACCAGTTCTAACACACAATCAGGCTTCTTGTCCCGGTTCAGTGAGCCGGCTCTCCGGATGCGTCACTTCCACCACCTCTCAGTTTGTTACATGACAAGCTGGGTCACAGTTCCTAGTCTTCCAGCGGCCCAGCGCGCATCTCCTGCCACAGCCTCCCATCTTGGATGTTAATTCACTTTGGGCAGTCTCGGCAATCGGTTGACTCCAGCGCTTCCAGGATCTCTCCAGAAGTGGTATAGGGGTGAACTGGGGATTTTAAAAAGTATAAATGCCAACCCGTGATGAGAACGGCAGAAGCACCTAACTCCACCAGCACAGAGGGAGAAATCCTCACCTTAGGAACGCGAGCCCGCGTTGCCAGGCAACCAGAGGGCGCCTCCCTGCGGCCCCCGCGACTGCGCGGTTGATGCCCGCCATCTTGGCCAGTTGGCCTTGGCCTTGAGGATCGCTCTGCCCTCAAGAGACCTGTAAAATGGGACTACTAGCGTCTTTGAGACCTACTTGACAGAACTGCTGCACAGCACAGCACGGTACAAACAGAATTACTGTGAAAACATTCGTAGTCCCCTCATCCGCCTGGCACCACCGGGCCTTCCCTCTCTCTCGAGGTGACCTGGGCGTGAGCAGCTGCTGGAGGGCGGACCCGCGGGTCCCAGAGCAACGGCTGCAGCCCCGGGCTGCCTGGGCGGGGGGATTACCGGAGGGGCCAGAAGGTGGGCCTGCGTGGCCGGGGTGCTGGTGAGTGTTTGGGGGCAGTGTCATGGCAGGGCTGAGGGGCTCAGGTCTCATCCAGGCCGGTGCGGGATCCATGGAGCAGGCAGGCGGCCCAAATGATCGCGGGCCCGGGCGAAGGTGGGGCGCCAGGTGCAGAGACAGGGCAGGGAGGAACAAGAGGGCCAGAGGGCTCAGAGGCTGGCTAAAAACAAAACAGGAGCCCTGGTCAGTTGCTGTGGAAATAGCAACCAGCATTCTTTAGGACATTCTGTTTTACAGAGTGAGTTTCATTTATTACATGATCCCATTTAATCCTTTCTACAGTCCGCTGGAATTTGGGGCATTATTGGTATTATTATTGTTACCCCTCTTCAGTGGAGGTGATAGTGGGGTTGGGAGAAGTGTGGAGAATCAGAGCTGGATGTAGGCCAATTGCTGTCCTAAATACAGCCCGACAATGATACCTACTTGACCTTTCATGGTTTGATGTGAAGGTCCTAAGTGTCCTTCTAAGTCGCCTGATGAATTCAGTGCAAGCTAGCTGCGTCTCGCTCCAGGTGACAGAAACAAAAGTGTTAGCTGACCTTCCAACCAAGCTTTTAAAGTTTAGTCACTCACAGTGCTATATATACAATTAAAGGAAAAATGCACCTGACAATGAAAGAAAACAAAGGACTACATTCGAGCATGGCAACAAGAGAGTTAAGGACACGATAGCAAGGGAGCAAAATGTGGAGGCCATCTTCCCTGGGTGCCCTAAACTCAGGCTTATGTTCTTTAGTGGTTATCCCAGGACTGAGATGTAGTTATGGAGAGGAACAGACCTGAGCTTAGATCATGGCTACTACCCTTAGCTGTTGTTTGAATTCTCATACTTTTTTTCTTCTTGTAATTAATGGAGATGATGCCTGTCTATCAGGGATGTTTAGAGAATGACAATATATAAAAAATATTACCCATCACGAAGTGAAAAGCCTTTTTAAAATCTCCTTACAGATAAGGAATTTGGGGGCTGTAGTACTTTACCAAGATTGTTCAGAGCAGTTTTGGGACTAGGGAAGGAAAAAATAGGAGGATATTCCCATTGCTGAGAATTACCACTGAGCCATATAAATAGATCTTTTAAAATATGGTAGCGTTTCATAGCTGGTGCTGTGTAACACTGTGTGATGCTTTAACTTATTTTGCTTCGCGCTCCCATTTTCTATTAATATGTGATTCACACATAGTAAAATGCACCCTGTTAGTGTAGTACTGCAATAAATATACAAACAAACCCATCACCCCCAAAATTCCCATGTGCTCCTTTTGTCATCTCCACCCCAGCTTGGAACAATAGTTGTTCAGTTTCCCTTCCCTATTGCTTTGTCTTTGCAAGACTATCATAGAGTTGGTATCTACATTTTTTTTTCCACAGGCAGAGTGGACAGTGAGAGAGACAGAGAGAAAGGTCTTCCTTTTTCCACTGGTTCACCCCCCCCAGTGGCTGCTACGGCCAGCGCGCTGTGATCAGCGCACGCCGCTGATCTGCAGCCAGGAGCCAGGTGCAGGGCCCAAGGACTTGGGCCATCCTCCACTGCACTCCCGGGCCACAGCAGAGAGCTAGACTGGAAGAGGAGCAACCAGGACAGAATCTGGTGCCCCGACCGGGACTAGAACCCGGTGTGCCGGTGCCACAAGGTGGAGGATTAGCCTATAGAGCCGTGGCGCCGGCCAGTATCTACATTTTTGAATTTAGCTTAGCATAATGCATCTGAGATTCCCTCACGTTGTTGAGTGTATCAGTAATTCATTGTTTTTTATGACTAAGTATTGTTCTCTTTTATCAGTGTACCACTGATTGTTAATTCCTCAGCAAAAGGAATATGTTTGTTAGAAATATTTGTGTGAAATATTTAATAATTTCACACCATAAACACGTAGCACAGGGATTGCTGGCACAATTGGGAAGTGTATGCTTAACTTAACAAGATTCGCCAGACTGTTTTTAAGGGTGCCTGTACTGTATCATTTTGTATTCTTACTTGCAGTGTATGAGAGTTCCATTTGCTCCATATCATCACCAGCTCTTGATTGTAAGGTTTTGTTGTTGTTGCTGCTGCTGTTCATTTTATCCATTTAAATTGGTATATTGATATATCATTGTGGTTCTATCTTATATTTCCCTCATGATGAATGATGTTGGGCATATCATAATGTGTTAACATTTATTATACATGTATAATATTTATTATATATTTGTATAACATTTATTATACAAGTATACTTTTAAAAGTTTGTGGAAATGGAATTAAAAGATAAGTTTATACTTTTTTTAAAAAAAATTTTATTTATTTATTTGAGAGCTAGTGTTACAGACAGAGAGGGAGAGACAGAGAGAAAGATCTTCTATCCGCTGGCCACAACTGCCAGAGCTGAGCCAATCCAAAGCCAGGAGCCAGGAGTTTCTTCCAGATCTCCCATGTGGGTACAGGGGCCCCAGTGCTTGGGCTATATTCTACTGCTTCCCCAGGCCATAGCAGAGAGCTTGATCAGAAGAGGAACAGCCTGGACTAGAACCAGTGCCCATATGAGATGCCAGCATAGCAAGTGGAGGATTAATCTACTGCACCACACTGCTGGCCCCTGATAAATTTATATTTGTTGCAAATTTTTTTTGAAATCCATGAATAGTTTTTTCATAAAAAAATTTTAATGAATTTTTTGAAGTCACATCATATGCATGGGGGGGACCTATTTCTTTACCTTGTTATGTCCATTGATATATACACACACACACACACACACACACACACACACACATATATATATAATTCTTTCCCCCAAATCACACTTTCTTGAATATTATAGCATCACAGTAAATCTGGAAATCAGGTACTGTGAGGACTTCAACTTTTTCTTTTTCAGAATTGTTTTGGCTGTTTCTCTTTTGTTCTACTAAAGTTTTAGAATCCGCTTTAGAAGTTTTAACAAGAAAATTTTCTGAAATTTTCATAGGCATTTCAATAGATCAGTTTGAGGAGAATTGATATCTTAAGAATATTGAGTCTTCCAATTCATGAATATAGCATATTTCATCATTTATTTAGGTCTTCTTGATAGGGACTCCAGGGGTCCCTGGAAAGGAAAGAAAAACATGGCAAAAAACAAAAAACAAAAAACAAAACCATGATGAAACTCTCCAAGAGCCCAGAGGGTAGGGGAAACAGGAGACCTGAGAAACATATACAATATAGTCTTTAGATGTTGAGTCTGCTGATGGGGCTTGATTGGGCACCCTGCAGGCTTTTGTGCAAAACTCCAATGTCAGTTCCCTGATTGGTTCATGTAGCATATCTCACCAGCAAACACTTTCAGTTCCCTGATTGATTGTTATTCTTGCCTATTGATTGGTTGCTGTCCCTTCCTTCTAATAGGTTGTTATTCTGGCCTCCTGATTCGTTGTTATTCTGCCACATACAAAGGGTAAAATCTGTACTCACTTCTCAGAATCAGGGAGAACCACTTTGCATATAAAAGAGCATCCCTGGCAACACCTTTTTTAGAGTCCCCCTCCTGACTGATGCAGCAGGAGGCTTTGTGCTCTCAATAAACTTCACTTTGTTTACTGTCCCTCTCCATGTGGAAATTATTCTATGTGAGACAAGAGCCAAGATCGCCCTTGTCATCTTACAACAGCGTGGTGCTGTGACTAGGACTTGATTCAGTTCAGCACTGGGTCGCTTCCTCAGATGGGTGAGCAAGTGGACTGCTTCTGCCTCTGTGTTTTGGAGAGCCTCACACTCCTCACTCTCAAGGATGTTGGGTCTCTGGCAGCCAGTTAAAAGCGGTTAGCATGGCGGCCAGTCTTAAGACTCAGGAATCAGGCTTGCTGAGAAACACTAGATCAATCCCCTTCTACCAGTTGGCTTTGGGAATGTTGGTCCTATTCTGACTCAGTTTCTTTTTGAAGGGATCAACTGTCACACGACAGTGGAAGAAGGTCTTGGAGTAATTGGGAAATTCAGGCCAGGGCAATAGTCTGGTGCTTTTCAAAGCCTGTTTGATTGGACTCCTGACTCCCACAGTCTGTTCTTTCTGTGGAGCTCAATCTGTCGATGAGACTGGGCATGGTCTAGAGCAAGGCTAAGGGCTCAATGTCCCAGTGACTCCTTACTTTACCCCAGACTCTGACAAGATCTCCAACTCTTACTCTGCCTCACTACACTGTGGACTGTGGATGCACTCTGTCCCGCCACCTCCTCATTTCTTAGAAACTCAAATTCTTGGTTCCACTAGTCAGTATCTCCTTGAATATCTAGTTGATTTGGGGTCAGGATTTAGGTACCCCTTTGCTAACTCAGGTGGCCTTTTCCATCTAGTCAATTCTTTTTTTGTTTTAATTAATTTATTTAAAGATTGGCCAGCACCACGGCTCAATAGGCTAATCCTCCACCTGAGGAGCCAGCACACTGGGTTCTAGTCCTGGTCGGGGCACCAGATTCTGTCCCAGTTGCCCTTCTTCCAGGCCAGCTCTCTGCTGTGGCCCGGGAGGGCAGTGGAGGATGGCCCAAGTCCTTGGGCCCTGCACCCGCATGGGAGACCAGGAGAAGCACCTGGCTCCTGGCTTCGCATCAGCCCGGTGCACCGGCTGCAGCGCGCTGACCGCAGTGGCCATTGGAGGGTGAACCAATGGTAAAGGAAGACCTTTCTCTCTATCTCTCTCTCTCTCTCACTGTCCACTCTGCCTGTCAAAAAAAAATAATAAATAAAATAAAATAAAAAGTAAAAAAAGAGTTACACAGAGAGAGAAGGAGAGGCAGAGAGAGAGAGAAAG